TCGTCGTAACACTTAGTTGGTCGCTTGGATAGTGAGTCACGAAATAGACCAGGTCGTAACCCTCTTGCCAATCCTCCTGCTTTAATCTCTTCTGAGGCTGACGGTACTTCGATGCACTCTCGCGTGTATCTATCCACATATACTCGCAGTGGCTCGCCTTTGCTCTGTTGCATATTGTTTAGTGCCTGATAAGTTTTCTCATGCCTCTGAGCACTTGAGAACTGGTTGACGAACATCAAATTAAACTCCCATAAATCTTTCACGGCTCCTGGAGCTACTTGGTAGAACCAATCCTGGGTCGGTCCCTTCAGCATGGTTAGCAGGGCTCGACAACATACTGGATCGTTGTACTTATGAAACACTGCCATGTTGTTCGAAGCTCCTCCTCATATGCCTTGTGGGGTCAGTCAAGCCATCATAAGATATCTTAAGCTCACAGAATCCAGGAGGGAGATTGGCATCGATTATATCGCTTGTGAAAGGATGTCCGTGAATCCGAGGTCACGACTTCCTGCTTTCAACTCTTCCATGCAATTCACGTAATTGCGCTGCCATCTGCTTTATCATCAGATCTCGTTTAGCTAGAGAGATGGGTTTTCGCCTAGTTTGCGATGTGGGTGCCGGTGAATGGATGGATCTCTCTGGTTCGTCTTCTCCTTGCCTCGATGCTTCCTGCTGCCCCACAGGTCAAACTACTGTTCCTGTAGGCGGAGGAGTGCACGCAGCCACTACCTCCGCTAGCATCTTCTGTAGCTCTGATCTAATGACTTGCAACAAGGGCTCGGGGGTGCTAGGTTGATTCTGCAGAAAAGGGTTCACCGCTAGCTCCCTCTCTCATGCCTCACACTGTAAGGCCTTGCCTTTTCTTGACGTGGGGTTCCTAGCATTGTTCTTGGTTCACCTTCTCGTCTGCCCGTCGGCGCCGGGATGCTTGGGGTTCTCATCTCCAGTATCGCCTCACGTCTAATTTCAGAAGCATGGGCGACTCTTTGATGGAAATCAATTCTAGCGGTGGTCCGATACCCGTAGGTCGGGTATGCAGCCATGAGCTATCTCCTTCTTCCTCTCCGCGAGGTGTATCTTTATCTCCCATTTTCACTAACCAAATGAATTTCTTTCTTTTGAGGATACCGCCGAGCTGCCGGTTGAGCTGAGGTGTCCCACATACGGCGCCAATTTATTAAGGTTCAGTGCATGTGACTCCGTCCTGGGTGATCCGGTTCAGAGGTAGAGCCTTCTACGCCGGTTTGTTAGCTGGAGTACCGGTAAAAGGGCTTCTTCGGCGCAAACCCTCTTACAATCAAGTTAGAAACGAGAGGTGAAAGAAGATGAACAACGAATATGTATTTATTAAGAATGAAATGTGTCTTACTTACCGCGGCTCACATTCTAATATATATAGGCAATCATCTTTCGTACGGATACGTTATGGTTGCGGCCTATTCCTAGTTGCGTTTGACCGACCTTGTCTTTGAGGCTCGATCCTTGAGGTTCATCTCTTATCGGACCGGCACGGTCCTTGAGGCTCTGTCTTTTAGGCTCGATCCTTTAGGCTCGGTCCTTGAGGATGTAATCCCTATCTTCATTAAATACCATATTATAAAAAGAATTGCATTTTTTTATGTAGTTAAAAGAATATTGTATTTTCGACCAGCTTGTATATAAGGTTAATTTGGAGAATATGTGATCCTGAATTATGATGAAAATGGAGAATAAAACCTAAACCGCTGTACAGTCACCAAAAGGCTTGAGTTTCAATTTTGAGGAACTCCATTCAAAACTTGGGAAAATGTTACAATCCCGTCACGGAATGATTCCGTGAAGGTTTTTAGCCATTAGATAAACATAACTTCCATGTATTTACAATAACTGTTTATCTAATGGCTAAAATCTTCACAGAATCATTCCATGACGGGATTGTAGCATTTTCCCAAAACTTGCTACTATAACTGGCCCAAGAAGATAAAATTAACAGCCCTAATGATATTCTCAAAAAACACAAACGATATGGTCCCAAAAATACAAAACTTAACAGTCTTTGATAGCATTGCCGATCAAATATATTTTCAATATCATATGTAAACACTAATTCATGATTTTAACCTTTTTTTGTATGCCTTAGCCTATTTTAGTTTTTTTTTT